ACAACAGTACTGCAATAAGTTTGACTCCCAGGCATCCTTCAAATACCTTCCTCAGGGGAAAAAGCACCCACTGGCCCCTCAGTGTATCCTGTTCCTAATCTGAGTTAGCCCTGGCTCACATAAGTGGCTCTGTTGGTGCAGAAAGTGCTGATCCACACAAGAAACTTAGAGGCAGGCCAGGTATTTTCTAAAAAAGCAGTAAAAAACCCGAGGTCTTTCTTGCTGTTTACTGTTTGAACTCCTAAGAAACTTCAAGTTCTTTCACGTAGCTGAGCAATTATTTAACCAATAATCAAATTTTGGCAGCAAATATTAAAATTAGATCTTCTGACAGAGACTCAGTGTTCTTGCTTCTAGCATTAACAAGGCTTGTTCGTTCAGCACTTTTTCCCCTGTTATCATATGACAGGCTATTTTTAATATTTGCCAGAATATATTTTGCATCTTCCTTTGATCCGGAAAGCAGTTTGTGAGGCTCGCCTGCACGCTGCACCCTCCTTGCTGCTGCAGTCCACAGAGCCGCGCTTTTCCGCCCGGCTGCGGTTTCGGTAGCGCAGGAGCACACAGCCACGCACACATGCCTGCTGCTCCAACAAAAGCTGTGCTGAACAGGCTGCACAGGGGACTGCCACGTGCCTGAGCACATGGTCACGCAGGCAGCAGCCATTCAGAGCCTCACGTGAGAAGCAATGTGAAGAGCAGCTCTGGTACCAGCCTGCCTGGCCGGTCATTCCCATGTTATCACGTGGGATGGCAAGGGTCAGGAAATTCCCAGCACTTCTCGGTGCTGGAGGTGGAATCCTTTGCTTCTGAAAAAGGGGGGCTCAGGTTTTGACTCATGTAACACCTGCTTGTAAACAAAGATTAAAGGTTCGGAGAGGATTCCTCATCCAAGCCGTCTGCTGGAAGCACTGCCTTCCGCGCTGCAGAGGCCAGCTAGAAGGGGAGGTCACGTTAAGAAACACATGGGAAGGAGGACTACAATGCAGGGAGTGCTGCACACACACCCTTCTGTGGGCTGCCCCCTCACCAGGGCATTCCCAGCATGCAGCTGGATGCAGCAGAGGCAGCCATCCCCAGCCAGAAGGTACACCCAGCTCAAAGAGGAGTGAAGAGAACACCAAACCCACCCAGTCCTGCCCACTGTCAATCATTACAACTCTGTATCTATGCAACGAGCAAAAAGTAATGGATAACGTGCTCTAGATGACATCTCCCCACGGAGCACATACAATATGGCATTGAATTAAAATCTTACAGGAGGGGAGTTGGGAGAGCACAATTCAAATAGGAATGGTTTTCAGCTTTCTGATCAGTGCACTCCTGACTCTCCACTTATTTTGTTACTGAAAGCAACAATTCACAGATGACATTATATATCTGCAACAGATTACAAAGCTTGTTCTTCTATTTTTTTTTTTTTCCCCTTTATCTTCAGGGTATCCTGCTCAAGTAGGACCAGGGCATCCAGCAATCCAAGCATCACAGAGCAAAAACCACCCTCGTGGAAATGCGATGACAGGGAGGGCTTTGTACGCTTTCCAAGGCCCTGTCTGCCACAGGGAGCTGGGCTGTAATAATGCATGGGACATCAGTGTGCTTGTACCTTCTGTGACACAGCCCCATATCCAAAGCTTTGGTGGCAACCAAACTTGACATCTAAATCTCAAAGTATTTTCTAAGTAGAGCAGCCCTCCAACTTACCCAATGTTTCCAAAGCCAAACCCTTTACATTGCTCCCCAGTTCAGCCAAGTAAAGGCAACGCAGAGAGAACAGGCAGATAAAAGCAACCACTGACCAATTAACTGCAAAATCTGATCCTCCTTTTATGTACAAACAGCTGAGCACTCCCAGTTTCCTTAAGGGACTGCACAGTTAAGTGGAGGGACACTTAATAAAGCTATCTTTATCAAGCACTCTTTTTCTGAAGGAGCTTAGTTTTCTACCAACTAATCAGCACTCAGTACAGGAAAAACATATGTTTTAAAGGATGATGGTTTGTAATACTAAAATAAATCACAATACTGCTTATTAATAAAAGATACTGTGAACAAGAGATGCATTTTATTCCAATCCTACAAAAAACACTATCCTGCATCCCTCCTATTCAAAGGCAAACCAGTTTTTCCTACACGGAGATTCCCAAAACAGGATTTGATGGCAACGTAGGTGTTTACTTTAACCTTTACTATAATTCATAAAAAATTGGCGAGACAGTACATTTCTCTAACAATCAGACAACCCAAGAAGTTGGAAATAAAAAGTCTGTTCTATTTATAAGGAATTTGTTGTTCCATTTTAGTTTCTTTGCTTGTTTTCCTCTCTCCCTGAGGGTTCTGTAATGTCACGTTTACAGACACAGTCAGCCCAGCTCTGGTGGGCCCAAGCACACTTCTCACCGAAAGCCAGGGCAAATTCCCAGATCTCTTCCACAGATACTATACAGTGCATATCAGCAGAAGCCAATGATGCCACTCAGATAAGCCGTGTATTTCAACACACACACAAAATTAAACCTTAAGCCAGTTTTCTGCAGATCTCTATGTCTGAGATACACCATACAGACACATAAACCACATCTGGTGTTCCAGACTCCCAAACACAGCCTCCACATACACACTGTGTGCACAGTAAGATTTGTAGCCAGCCGCATGCGATATGCTGATGCTAACTGCCCCGGTGTCGTGTAAAGCAGGGATGTGAGAAGCACAGCATTTGATCCTCCTTCAGCCCCAGCTCACACAGGCTTACATTATAATATTAATTAAAACAAAACCCAAAGTACAAAATTGCTTAAGAAATGAAAACTGAATTTTTTAGGTGATAGCAAGTAATACCATGAGAAATTAATTTTATTGAAACTATTTTAGACTCTGTTGGTGCATTCTTTCCAGTAGTACAAATTAAAACAGCTATGCACAGGGAAACAGTAGTTGACATCAATTGAAAAAGAAACCTCGATTCATGTAAGTTCATAAAAATAGTTTTTAAAAGTCCTATAGGACTTTCTTTAACCAAGAAGTTCCAGTGCAATGATTTTGACATTTACATTCAGACAAACTTTCATATGTCAAAGCAGCAAATTTACCCCGGCACTTTCATGACAACCTTAAATGGACACTTTTATTTTACTGATTTTTTTTAATAAATACCATCTTACCTTAAAACAGATTATTGATTGGACTTTCTCCATGACAACACAAAAATATTCCAACAACTGGACAACTAACAACACTACGGTTGTCACAGTACCTATCTGCAATTGGGGAAAAAATGTTATTGCTAAGAAAATGAATGAGCTTACCCTTAAAAAACAAAAAACAACTTTAATAAAAAAAACCTGTATTACTCTTAAGACAACATGGCATGGGGAAAAAAATACCTTCAAGTTCAGAAGCTTTCTCCTGCCCCAAGAGACCTGACTTCTTTTACACCAATAAACGAGCGCACAGTTTCTAGTGAGAGAAGTTAGTAACCCCAAGCTGCAAACAGCTCAGGGAAAAATCCGAAAATCAATGAGATGAAAATAAGCCGTGCAGGCAGCTGATCACAAATAAATTCTGACAGGTGATCATTAAAAGCCTGGCCCATAACTAGGCTCCCCTGAGAAGAACAAGGACAGACTGTCTGCTTTTAATGCACAAGTGACAGAAAATGGGGTAGCATACCCGCACTATTTTTAAAGACTCGCTTGGGAGAAGCAAGATTTTGTTTTCTATTCCACTCCTGCCAACTCCAGATATATTTTAACATTGGACGCGCTCACAAGTTACTGGTTAACTAAGAAATGCCTTGAAACTGAAAGACAGAAATGAAGTAAGATCCACATACAGCGAGCAAACAAAATCCATGACCCAACACACACACGACTTAGGGCCAAAGGCTCTGCTGACAGGTTTGGGGTGCTCTGGGGGTGCTCTACTTCTTTTTAATGAAAAAGGTACATTGTAGGCTTTTAAGACTTTTCTACTTCATCCTGTTTTACAACTGTTGTCCTTCTATTTATTTATTTTGCCTCCTTATCAGATGACTCTGACAATGACTTCGCACGCTGAGCGTGGCAAGCGATCAAGCGGAGTGGAGAGGAGCGGTTTCCTGCTCCCACGAGCACGCTTTGCTCCAGCAAGCCTTGTGAGAGCAGAAGGGCACAATAAGCCAGCCTTGGACTTCTTTTTCAGGGGGGAAAAAAAAAAAAAAGCAAAGCTCCATGTTTTCCGAACTTTAAAGTTGACTCTATTCTGCAGGCCATGATCTCAGCCTTGCTGGTATCAAGCCAGAGCAGTTACTCTAGATGTGCACTGGTGTCTCTAAAGGGACTGTTTGAAGCATTAATAAACAGATAGAAGAGTTTCACTGACACCAAGCAGGTTTGAAACCTGTTAGGATCAGAAATCGGCTCCCTGTCAATTTCTTTTTTGCCTCCAACTAAAAGTAACCATAGGTGTAACACATTAACTCTGGACAGAGCTGCACTCAGCCTATGCTACTTTAAGAAAGGTTACAATGCAATTACAAGATTTAGTTTGTTGCACCAGCTATGGCAAATTTTGCTATGCTCAATAAGGAATAAGATCACAGCCAAAGCTTAGAACAGGAAGCATGGTCCAAGGATTATCTTAAAAAATAATTACCAAGGCTACAACTCAAATACAGGTAAGAAAAATAATGGTCCTTCTCCCTGTTCATTTCACATCATGGCATACACACGTTACTATTTTGTTCATGTGTTTTTCATCTGCTATTAGCAGGCTACCAAAGAAGAAAAGACAACAGGAAAGTTCTCTTGGAATTCTTGCAGCTTCCTGACATAAGTTAAGCAAAAATCCCTATGGAGCAGCTTAACAATACCTAGAGCTACTTTCCTTTTCTGAATACAAATGCCACAAATCACATCAGCCCTCTCTAAACTGCCTGTCAAGCATACAGTGCGAAGCAGTGATGTACAGCGGGGAGGGAGGCTCACGCCACAATCCAGAGGAAGCTCTGAGGGCTGATTTACCTGGTCTGACCGGGCTCTGCATGCAGTTCTGCGACACCATGCCTGGGTGGACTGAAGTAGAAGCCCTGCTGCTGAGGTCCATGACAGAAGGGGATGCTGAGGTAGCTTGCTGCAGACCTGGCTGGTGTGGGCTATGCTCGTGCTGGTTTGGGCTGGGTGGAATGCCATTTTCTGAGAGGAACTCTTCCAGGTCCATGTATTCCAACTGGAAAGTGTCTCCATCGTATGGCAGCGTCTTGTCCCATAATGTCGGGCCCAAGAAAGCAGACTGAGGGACTGTGGTACTGGTGCTGTCATCCTCTAACTTCTTCTCTTTGTCTTTTTCTTTACCGAATGCTTAAACAAAACAGATAACAATGATGTAAGAGCTGAGTAATTAAAATATTACCACTCCTTATTTCTTACAGCCGAAGTTGCAGGGGAAATGAGTATTAGCTTTATAAAATCAGTTCCCTTGATTCACTCTGTTAAGTGCAGCATGGAAGGGTCATGACAACCGAGCACCTTTACTGGATGTAGCCACGCTTGTTTTTTTCTGCTCCTTTTAGTTAAGGATCCCAATGCATGCTTGGATTTGAAGCCAGCATGTGAGTAACAGCAAGCTGGGAGATACTGCTGTATCCTGCTGGAAAGGAACGGTCTTGACCTAAACCTGAAGGGGTTGTTATAAGGTCACATTTAAAAAATTAAGGTCCCACTCTTGCAGTCCTTGAATTTAATAACTGTTTTGCTTGCTTTAAGGTGGCCTCATACTCAGCAGCAAATTACAAAATATATCATTTGAAGAAATAACACTACTAATGCTTTAAAGTTTCTAACTCAGAGCAGCAAAGTCTAACTGGCCTTATGTTGATGTTCAAGGGTAGAATCAAAGCAAAAAAACAGTAACAAAAAAAAAACTTCAAGCGATGTTTCCTACCCGTCCCTACAACGAAGAGCTGTAGGGAAACACCCCATTTCCCTCAGACATTTGGGAGACTCCGAAGGGACACGGTCAGCAGCGCCGTGCCCGCACCGCACGGCCCGCGGCTCTGCGGGACCTCACGGCTCTCTGCTCCCGCGGTGCTGAGAGGCTCGCAGCCGAACCGGAGCTCGCAACTCTCCGCGGCGGCGGACGAGCGCTGGGTCGGGGCGGCAGCGTCCGGCGCCGCACCGAAGCCGTCCCGGTACCGAAGCGCGCGGGGACGGCAGCGGCGCCGAGCCGCCATTTCGGGGCGCGCTGCGAGGGGCGCAGAGGGGCGGCGGGGGGAGTGCGGGACCGCGGCGGCCCGGGGGGCCTCACCGTCTTCGTGAGCGAGCGGCAGCTTGAGCGGGTTTTCCAGCAGGGATTTCAGCACCCCGTAGGTGGGAGGTAGGAAGGTGGGGTTCAGCGGGAGCGGCCGCGACATGGTGGGCTTTCCCTCGGGGCGAGCTGCGCGGCAGCGGCTCCTTCAGCCTTCCTCCGGCGGTGCCGCGGCGAAACGGGAGTTGCGGGGCCGGGCCGAGGGACGGCTGCAGGCCGCCGGGCAGAGGGAGCGGGAGAAGCGCCTCCGCCGCGCAGCTCCTCCGGCACCGCCGCTCCCGCTGTGCGCCGCGCGCCCCGGCCGCGCGCCCATGTGCAGGCGCTGCCGCTGCTGACGTCACGAACGGCGCGGCCCCGCCATTGGCGGGGGGGGGTTGAGGCGGGCGGCCCCGACCCTCGGCCCCGCCCCGGGGCGGTGTCGCCACAGCCGCGCCCCCTCAGCGGCACGCGCGGTGGCCGTTGCCCGCGGTGCGGCGGGGCAGGGCGGGGCGGCGGGTGCTGCCCATGCTGCCCATGCTGCCCATGCTGCCCATGCGTCGCTCTCTTCGCGCTGCCCCGGGCCTGGCGCCGTTTCCATGGTAACCGGGAGGCAGCGAGCTGCGCGTGATCGCGTGGCCCCGCGGGAGCCTTCGGCCGTGCCCGAGATGATGCGGGTCCCTCCGGCCGGGCCGGGCGTGCCGCTGGGAGAGCGGCGGGGCAGCGTGTGAGCGGGCCGGGGAGCTGCCGGGTACGGACCGCTGAGGGCCAAACTGCTGTCATTGGAAAGACTGAATTGCAAAAGTATGGAGGGAGCGACGTAGAGGAGCGGTGCTCGTGGTGTTATGGCACGGAGTGCTTCTTCTGCACGGTGTAAAGATAGAATAAACAGTGAGGCATCGGTGGAGTGACAAAGGATCGCTGTGCCAGCGCTGTGGGAATGGCGCGGCAGTGACCAGCAGGCTATAAGGACAGAGCGGAACTGCTTCTGTGGCTGTTGACATAATTGGCATTTTCTACAAAAATATACTAAAAAAAAACCCCACCAAGTTGTTTTTTAGGTACCGGGGACCTGAATGCACCAGCCCTGTCATCAGATGGGTGCTGCAGAGCCTATTTGTGACCGAGGTATGAGGGCTGCTCCAAAAGTAGTGCCTCCTGTTTTGTCACGTTGGCCCATGATGTCAGAGGCAGATGCTGGCATGGCAGCAGAGGTTGAACCTTCCCACCAACATCTCGCTCCATTTCGTTCTGATGGCTGCAGATGGGAGGTCTGACAGAACGGTGTCTGACATGGGAGTACAAATGGAGCAAAGAGGTAGAACTGAATTCCTCCATGCTCAAAAAATTGCACCCACTGACGTTCATCATGGCTGCTGAATGTTGATGAAGGCCAAGCAGTGGATGTGAGCACAGGGAGGGGCGGTGCTGCATCCCAGCAGTGGGGCAGAGGGTCACCTCCTTGTGCAGGTCCTTATGAGCGCAGCATGCAGCTCTTGTTCATCGCTGGCAAAATTCACAACTAATGTTGGCGACTTTGATGAAACGCAGTGTTTCTTGAAGTTGAAAACATGCTCTATCAGTGTTGTTGCGCTCTTCTTATCTGTTAGTTTCCATGGAAATAAACGGGAGGCATTACTTTTGGAGCAACCTACGCACATGAAAGTTAAGAACAAATCTTCCAAGATTATTATTATTATTATTTTCTGTGCAATTATTTCCTAGCAATTGGAAACACAACTTAGGATGCAGGCACGGTGACGCTTAAGTTCCCTTCTCCCTGCAGCGCCCGGCGGGAGCACAGCCGGGGGCGCGAGCCCCGCAGCAGGGAGGGGTGAAAGGAGGGAGCGCGGGGCTCGTCACGTGAGCGCGCGGGCTGACCTACTTTGGGCCAATCGCAGCACGCGAAGCCCCGCGCGCCTCCCGCAGCAGCGCCACAGCGTGGAGCCGCCGCAACGGTCGCTCCACGCGCCCCGCCCCGCCCCCTGCGTGGCGCCTCGCCTCACCTCACGGCACCTCGGCCGTTTTGTCTTCTAAATACGTTTTTTTGGGTGGGCGGAGGGAGAAAATTGCAAAAGTAGCGGGAAGGATGCAAAAGCAGGAGAGCGCGGTTTGGGGAGCGTGCAGAGAAGCAGTTCCCCCTGGCTGAAATACTTCGGTTTGGCACCGCCCTCCCGCAGGCTGCACGGAGATGCGGAAGGGACAACGGCTCCAGCCTTTGTTTTAGGCGTAAAACAGCAGAGCAGCCTCAGCTTGGCCTCGGGCGTCAGTCTCCTCCATCTGCCCGACAGGACCCGTTACTCAGAGGTGCATAGAAAGACAAATGCTTACGTTTAGACACCCACATCCCAGGCAGAGCTCAGAGCCGGCAGCTCCTGAAGGGCAACACGAAGCCCCAGCAGCACGCCCTGCTGACTGCTGCCCGCGCGGCTCCTGTGAGCAAGGACCTCTGCTGAAGGAACCACCGTCTGCCCCCTCCGTTTTTATTATTTCATTTCTTTTCAAAGGTTTTTAATGAATGTGGGAGAGACAGGTTTGGAACAGCGTTGGGGTGATGGCAGAGGAAGTTCTCTGAAGTAATCTGGGGGCAGTGCCAAGAGCCATTCCAGTTCTCAGAAAAATAACCAGTCACTGCTTATGTGCTGGGAGTTGAAAGATTGATCATTTTTGCTGCCAACATTTACAGTCAGTCCTGACCATGACAGTAGATCAAATACATGTACTTTTCTGGACAGCTGACCTGGTTTGAACTCAATGAGTGTTAAATCTCAACGATGACTATGTTTATTTAATAAATACTTTGCTATATTTTTTAAAGCAACCATAACCTCACCAAGCACCAAGCAGCCTCTTAGGACTGTTTCAAACACCTGGTGCCCTTGGTACCTTGGGGAATTGCTCAGACCCCACAGGTGTGACTAGCTGGTGAAATGAGATGACACAGCTGGACTGAGACAAGCCACAAAGAAGTCGCTGGCCTGTTCTGCAGTTGGACATTGATTGGAACGAGAGTAGCTTCCAGCTGGTGCCAGTGGGAGAAACAATTTGATCCTTTCTCTGTGCTCGGCTCCTATTCCTTTCTCACTTTTGGCTTGCGTGCAGCAGGAAGGCAGTTAGAAATAGCTGTTCTTACATGCTTAGACTGTTTGATTTTGGAACTTGGCGCTGGTTTTACTGGAGATAGAAGAGCACCCACAAGCAGAGAATGAAACATCCCATCCCCAGGCAGAGCTGTAACGGGAGAAAGGAGTGAAAGGTGAGCATCTCTTCCTTATTCAGAGTTTCTAGCGAAGTCAATGACCCAGATTTCTCTGACTTCAAATGGCTGTTTTCAGCAAGCTTGCCAGAGGCATGGTGCTGGGGAAGGTCAGGCAGAATTCAGCCTCAAGTGTTCTGCATGTTCAGGCTTATCAGATCTGGATTTGTAAAACTTCATACTGAACACTCACTAAAATCTGACCAGTGCCCTGGGCTCCAGACTTGCAAGGCAGCTGCCCAAAGCTTGGGATTCCTTTGTCTGTACTTCTGGGCTCAGTTCTGTAACAGTCGCCTTGTTCTGAGATTTTACTCTTAAAAAAATTACAGAAAACCAGTTTTTAATCTGTGGTATTTATTAAGAACCTAGAAATACAATAAACCTCTTTACGTTCTCAAGGAAGCCTGACCTGCTGGAAAACTGGGACAAGTCCTGCAGACAACAATCAACCTTCCAAACAAAGGCATTAGAAGCCATGCTATGCCTTTTTATGAAAGAATCGTCATAACAGCACACATTTTAAAAGAACAGCAAGCAGTGCAGGAGTGCTCGTTACTAACCTGTATGCAGTTTATCCTGAAGGACTGGATCCATTAAGGCTTGCAGGTGAGATTTCCCCCCCTCATTGCACCCCTCCTTACCACCCCAAAATGTTTTCCCACTCAGTTATATGCAGTAGTGGAGAAGGTTCTCAATTTCAAGGCTAGGCTGTAGCACCCTTCCTTAAGATCTATCCTCATGTCTCTCTTATGCCCTTTTTTTTTTTTTTTTAATCTCTCATAAATAAAAAGAATGAGTTGGAAACTAGTTGTTGTTATCTGAGTATTAGAATATATGCACTGAGTATGTGTAATACCAGTCTACCAGACTTTGCATGTATTTTGGAACCTACATTTCTAAGTACCATAAAGCAACCACCATTTTAAGAGGCAAACATACCTTGCATTTTGTGCATGCAACTCCTTCCTTTATTTGATGCAGTGAGACAGATTAGATCTCTAAAGATTAACTTGGATTTTTAAAATGCATTTCCAAATATTGAATAAGCTTCACTAATACTGAACATCCAAAATCTGGATTTCGGTTGTATGCTCAGTATTTACCAAAAGGAAATGGAGGTATTTTCCCATAACCATTTGTTGGCTCTGCCTTAGCAGTGTCTGGGGCTGCTGCCTGCTGTGACTCAGGATGGAGCAGCTGCACACTGGGAATTGTGCTCAGAGTGCAAGATCCTGGGCAGCCACAGTGCAGGTCCTCCTGCCTCAGCTGTGCTCAGCAGCCCCCTGCAGAGGTCCTGCTGCCTTCTGAAAGAGGAGATGAGTGGATTATTAATCTATCAAGAGTAGATTACTGATGTCTCCTGTAAGGACAGACGTGTATGGAAAAAAATATACATTAAGAGAGATGTATAGCAGTTGCCATTTCAAACATGTTCAGCTTTGTGAAACTATTTTTGTGCATTTAAATGAAATGCAAAAGTTGCAGTGGTAGCTGGCAGCTGCATTGTACAAACTTCTGATGTTCATGCAGACACAAGAAACCATGGAATGATTGCTTTTCATTGCTTTATTCTGCCTTTGACTTTTTTTAATACTGTATTTTATTTTGAAGTTGACAGCCTTGATATGTGGAAATGTGGATGCGTAATTGTCTACATCTGGGTTAAAGATATTCTTGCCTCTATATTTTCCTGGTCAGGCATTTAGACTACAAGCTATATTGAAAGCCTTGGGCAGCAACCTATTCTGAAATCATCAGAATAACTGGTTTCATATTAAAAAGATCTGCATTTGTTTTACTCCCACACATTTTGCTTTAAGCTTTTAAAAAAAATCTATCTTTAATTACCTTGCATTTTCGTAGGCACTGGTGAGTTTTATTTTTATTTTTCTTTAATTGCCAAAGGGCATAAAAATAACCAGTATTCAATGGCCATGCAACAACACACATGCAAGGAAATAAAGATGTCCTCCTGTATTTTCCCTTAAATGGCTTTGACCTGGAGAACACATCGTTTTGATTGACATAAGAAAGAAGGCTGTGATCTTATTTTTCCTGTTTGCTATAGCTGTTTCAAACTTATCAAAGGAAGAAATAGAGGCTTTTTAGATGGCTGCTTGCCAGCATCACTAATCAGAATTTTAATGAGATTTTTCTTTGAAGGCCTAAATTAGGTCTAATTAACAATATATAAAGCAAATATATAATGCCATAAAAGAGATGCAGCCTGCAGTCTTTTGTACAGAATACGCATTTCAATCAAATCAAATAGAATTGTTAAGCTAAATACACATCTTTATGCTGCTTAAATATAGGCAGAATTTCTTTACTGTTAGGCATTAATTAACAAATTGCCTTTAGAGAATGTGGTCCTACACTCTTATAGTAAGTTGGAAATCTCTGACAGGGATCAACAGGAGCGCTTACGGCTGAAGCCCTCAATGAATTCCATTCACTTTAACGCAGACTCTGAAAACTCCAGTCCAACACACACCACAGTCACAATGGCAGGGTGAGCTGTTCTCTTTTACTTCCCTCAAGTACTCCATTTGCCACCATCGTGTCTCTGGATGGACCATGTGTTCCTATTGTTTGTGGGCTGGATAACTAGCCTGCAGCTCCCATTTCCCAACCATCATAAAAGGCACTGTTAAATTTAGTCTGCAGTTTTCCCCCCAGCATTTAGGACAGAAAATCATTAGCAACTACAAAACATTATCCTCAAAACACAGCATTGTTTCTTCTGTTCCCCACCAAAGCGTATAGCACGAAAAGAAAGAGGAATAAACCAAAGACATTTTTCTTTCCCACTTGTAGGGTTTTGGTGCTACTTACTGTTCTGTCCTGGGCTGACATATCTCTAACATTACAAAGCTTTTTAGAAAGGGAAGCATTTTTAATTAGAGATGCTCAGATGCAGCCTATTGCAATTAAACACCTGAAAGTATGGAATTGCAACACCTGCTTAAACAGATCATTTTATTCACAAACTGAGACCAATAACCAGGAAGCTTCTTTCAAAGCCTTTTTCCAAATTTAATGCTTAGTAAACAAATCTCATTTCTTTTATCCCTGTTAAATCAACATCACTTCTGATTCATTCAGTTCGTGAAACTAAAGATGAATAGCAGCATAACAATGGGGGAAAAAACAAACAAACACACACCAAAGCACAGCAGAATAGAAAGAATCGAAACCCCAAGTGCTCCCCCTTGCACAAAATCCAAGTCACCAGTTCAAGTGCTGCTGGATCGAAGCATTCGGAGTGCTTGAGCAGGATAATGCTCTAGGGATTGCTCTGGAGCAGGTCTATTTGGGAAGCTGTAGGCAGAGTTTATGTTAAATTGCAGCATCTGTAGTTAATAAGAATAGTCTCTCAAGTGCCCATTAGCTTTGAACTAACATCAGACACGTTCTGAGTAAGCTTAAATAGCCATTTCAAATGTGTATTTCTTGAAGTGTGTAAATAAATATATTCTCAGCAATTTTAAGAGAAGAGCCAAACCACAGGGTGAAGTGAGCCAGAATCATTTCGCATCTGTTACAACACTCTGGATAATGTTTTGGTTGATTTATAGTGGAAATATTTGTTTTTCAGCTGGAATTTTGGTAACTCAGAACAGATGTTCACAGCAATGTTGGAGTAATGTCTACCCATACTTCTCTGTTAAATAAAGCACTGCTACACATTTAAGCTAACCTAGGTTGGTTTAACCTGAAATCTAATATACTGTGAAGTTAGTAAGCTTAAGAAAGATATATAGTAATGGAGATGCTCATGGAATCCAATATCGTTTATTTTCCCATTTTATCAGAATTAAAAGGCTTACAATGGTGCATATAAAGAACTACCAAAGCTGTTAGATTTTCTGTTTTGTGAATCTAGATGGAGAAGTGCTTGTCTATCAATTTAATATTTTTTCAAAGCTATGTAGCGTTGAACCAACTCATTTTTCGGACTTTTTTTCCCCACCCTCTGCAAGCAGAGGGATATTTCTTAACCAGGAGAGAGAACCAGGTTCTTGTGATGATAAAGTTATGTATGTTTCCTAAAAAGCTGGCTAGTTGTCTTTAAAATCATTAGGAATTCAGTACATAATTTAGAAAAGACAACACACAAAACAGTAATCAACTGTCTGTATCACCAAGACCTTTGACTGCAGAACAGAGATGAACAGAGTCCTCTCTTCTCCACTAGAATTACTCATCTCTCAACATTTTGCCAGATAAGCATAGATGCAAACTCATTATATTAGCTGGATAGACAACATGTTGTGAAACCAAGTGATATCTCTGCGTTTGCTTCAGTGGCATGGAGCTCTGTTTTTTTTATTTCCTTTTGCTCTGTGGAGGCCAGACAAATAGCATCCAAAGCTCTTTGCTGATGCAAATTCCAGATTGTTGGTGGAGTTGTACCTGATTTGATGTCTTTACCTTATGATGCTGGTTGCTGCTTCTAGGAACTTTCAGCTTCTCTGCTGTACTGTTCTTACTTCCCAGGAAAGAGCCCCATTATCTGGCATGCAGCTATTTAATGGTTATCCCATTTGCAGCTGTATTTCTTTCCAGGTGGCATTACTATTTTCCTAATAGCTGAAAGCATTAGCAATGTCAGAGAGGTTTCGGTTACTCATTTCTATGTGGAGCACATACTTTGAATGGCTGCCACTGCATTTAGCTCTTGAAGGTATACCCAGAGAAGCTTCCTCACTGATTTGCTGAGCTCCCAGCAGTACCTGATGATGCCCAGCCTTGTGCTGTGTGCTGTTAGAGGCACAGTGTCCTGCTCACTGCTTAACCCCAAGTGCTTCCAGGTGGGAGAGAAAGGCAGAGGCAGAGCACCAGGAGCGTAGATTTTCTTTGGGCTGCAGCTGTTGTACACCTGCGTCTCCTCCTCCTCTAAGCCATCACTATGCACTGTTAGCATTTGGAACAACTGGAGTCTCAGCAGAAGTTGTTGTGCAAATGCAGTACAAATGCAGATCTTATTAGAATATACTTTTTGCAAGCAGGTTTGTATTTTTAGCAGTGACATGAGTTGCCTCGTTAGATACCATGGATACAAGCTGGCTGATTTCTGCTTCTTAAAGAATCCTGAACTGCTGAGAACTTCTCCAGGTCCAGAGGGCGTGATCCTTCCAGGCTGTGAACGCTTTCTGGGGCTGAGCTGTCCTCATTCCATCAGAGCTGAAGGCTCTCCCCATGCTCCAGGATCAATTGGGCTTGAACAGAAATTCTGTGCATATGGCCTACAAGAGAGCACAGCTTGCTCTGGAATGCCCATAGATAAGCCTGGTTTACTTAAGAGTTGCACTGAGGCTCTTTGGAAGGCAGTCACAGGTGTGATTATTGTGGGATTAGTGGCTCATGAGGAGTGCCTGCTGAAACAGTTCACTCTCACTGGGTTGCTGGAATTTCTCTAGTACTGTACCTCACTGCCACACAGACTTGTTTTGAAAATCAAAGATATCTGTGGAAACACCATATTTCTGTCATAAAGGTCAGAAAAGGATCTGTTATGTTTGTGCCAATGTCTTTCTTGAAAAGGTAACACTGGATTTACTATAAATGTAAGGTTTGCTGGTAAACTTTTATAAAAACTAAAA